AAAAATTTAGGAATCACTCATTGCTAGAGCTGGAAGAGAGCTTGTGTAATCCAGAGCTGGGAATGGTTTGTCTGATTGAGTTTGACAGGTAAGAGAAATGAGATTAGGCAATATTCTATAAACTTACACAATGACAATATCTCTCTTCCCATCAACTCTGACCTCGGTCTAAGTTTTCAACATCTCTCACCTCATCTATTGAGTAGCTTCATGTGGCAGATTGTGTGTTTTCAAAGATGGACACAACACTATACTCTATTACACATGCTTTTCTTAACAACCTAACAGTGATAATACTGCTCTGTTGAGTAGGGGCAGGAGTAGTCCATGTATCCTTTCTTCAAAACTCGGTGGGCATGATTATGGTAGAAATTATTTGATGCAACTTTTGAGGTTAAGTTATAAATGATGATACAGCTTCTTCCTGATCCTCTCTTGGACTACTGGCCTTTGGAATCAAGTGACCCATGCTGTTAGGGAAGCTACATAGCTACATGAAAATTTCTCATCTAAGTGTTTTGAACAAAGCCCTAGCTGAGGACCCAGCTGACAATCAGCTCAATCACTAAACACCAGTGAACGAGCCTTCCCGTGCCCAGTCCTGAGTGGAACAAAGAATGGTCTCTATAAACCGTGACCAAACTAAAGTTCAATGAGAAAGATAAAGGCGTTTGCTGATTTAAGTAATTTGGTTTTGTGATGACTGTAATCCATCAGCAGGTGACCGAAACATCTCATATCTTCCTCAGTCTCTCCAAACAATTGCATGTGTTTCTTCAGTCCAGCAGCTCTTTATTGATTGCCTACTATGTGCTAAGGGAGGTCTGGTCCATAGTTTGTAGGAAGTTACGTTGCTAACCCACAGGCCTTGACGCTCTGTTGATGAAGTCCACTAGTTGTTCCACAGCAGAAAGATGGGCAATCTCCACTGGTGTGATTTACAGACACGGGACTCCAATGGAGGGCCAGCTATTGAGTTGGTTCCAATTTCACAGCGATGAGTTGAGCTGTTATCTGTGTAAAGACAGACAGGACTTCTACAGGCATGGACAGTACATTTCAGCTGCCCCCATAGTTCCTTCAAAGTGGCTTCTTTGCATACAGAATAAAGTTCACACTCCTCCAACCCAAACCCAGACCCAGTACCATCATGTTGATTTGGAGTACAACTTCCCAGAGAGTTTCCTAGAAGTGGAACTTCCTAGAAAGTCTCCCAGAGTTTCTTTATGGGCGCTGAGTCCAGAGCAGCTAGTGAGTTCCACTTTTGGTTGAACAGCTAAGCAATTAACCATTGCACCACCAGAGCTCCGTTTACTCCTCAACCTCTGAAAACAACCTCAGCTCAATGATTTGCTGCTACACCAAATGGTTTTTCTCAGTACGACTTCCATCCTCCAGTTTCTGTGCCTTTGCTCATGTTGTCCCCTCTACCTCTGATGCTTCTTCCCTGCTCTGTCTCAGCCTTCAAAGCTCTATTCAGAAACCATTTCTTCCTTTCCTCCCCAAGGCTTGCACAGATTTCACAAGCTGGACTTGTAATCTCGCAGCACTCACTGCACACTGTACAGTCTTTGTCTGCCTACCACCTCTCTCAGGCCTCATTAGACTGAATCCTTGGAGGAGGGATCCTAGCTTATTCCTACGGTTCACCCCCCACCCCATCCCACAGTTGGCACACAGCCCAGTACATAGGAGGCTCCTAGCAAGCATTTGTTGATTTGACTAGTAGCAAAATCAGAATTAGAAGTCAGGGATCCTGAATCCTAGCCCCTACCACCAGACAGGCTTCTTTTGATACTGCCAAGCCAAAGCTAGTGTCCAATCATTATTGGGAGACGACTTTGATTGAGAGCCAGGGGTTGAAGGTACCATTGGGTGTGGAGCTGCATGTGTCAATGAACAAGGGGGTCCGGTGCTTCTGGCTATGGGTTTGAGGTAGATCCCTTCTTCTTTTCTTCCTCATTTCCCCTCCTTCCTTTTCCTCTTTCCTCCCTTCCCTCTTCCCAGCAAATCCAGAGCACTCACTTCTGAAGGGGACTTGCTTTTATTTATTAGTCTCTCCTTCAAATCCAGTTCCTATGTGAACACATCTCCTCTATTTTCAGAACCCAGTTGCATAGAAAAACAAGGCCTGTCATGCATTCTGAACTCCCCTTGAACACCAACTGAATGTCCTGTGACTTCTTCCTCTTCTGTTTTTTTTTCTTCTTCTGAGGAGTTAGCTATTCTTCCATACGCTGCCTCTCTTGCATCCATCTGAGTGGAACTGCTTCTCAGTCTCCTGTGACTGTCCTTGCTCTCATGGGCCCAACTCAGCCTGTGTTTTGCCTGCTTCTCCGGAATGTAACAGCAGGACAGCCTTCAATTTCTGTTTTTCTTCCCAGGAAGTCCTGGCTTGATTTCCTTCCTCCAGCTAAGTTAGAGCAGAGAGTGGCATGGGTATAATGTTTTCTGTAGACTTTTCTTCCTAAATTGTCTCTTCCTGGGGAACTGGGAGGAGTCTGGATATCTCACTGTGAATATAGACAGGTCTCTCTTTAGGGATGATTGAGGATTCCTGACTCCTGCATTCTCCTTTGGGATATGAGTACAAGCCTGTTCCACATGCTCCATGCATGAGTGCCACTGATGGGAAGACAGCTGGCTTGTTTGGATGAGTGGCTCCTGGTCTGGAAAGAATGGCGAGATTTCATATATCCCTTCCCATTTCCCCCCTTCCTTGTGCTTATTCTCCACTGCAGGCCCTCTTTCCTTCTCATCTTTCCCTGATGAAGAGGGGGAGAAATGTCACTTATACATTAATCTTCCTGCATGGAAAGTCTAGCATTCAGGTCATCATGACATGCAGAAGGGTCTGGACCAATCATGGATCTCGTAGACCACGCTCAGGAGACTGAAACTCTTGTCAGAATGCCCCTCTGCACATCTCCTGCGGAAAGCCCCTTATAAACTGAGAGGGGCTAACCAGCTCACATACTTTCTACCCAATTAGCAAACTGTGTTGACATATCTGGTGTGAAGTCACAAAGGAAAGGCATGTCTTCCACCGATGGCTCTGCGCATCTTGGGTGTGTGAGCTAGGAAGCTGTTGGGTGTGGAGGGGCTGTATGGGCAAGGGCCTCTCTCTGGTCCTTTTAAAGCATATTTTTAAGTCACCACCACTCCCACAAGTTCTGGTGGTATATTGCTTTATGTGGTGGGCTGCTAACAAAAAGTTTGGTGGTTTGAATCCAATGGCAGAAAGATGAGCCTTTTTAATTCTGTCCTAAAGATTTAGTCTCAAAACCCTGCACTGGAACTTGGTATGGACCTGAGGGCAGTGGGTTTGGTTTTTGGTTTCTCTCTGACTGGCCACCTTCCTGAGTCACGGCCCTTTGATCGGCAAATAAAAAGGGGTGTCATTGGCTGGTCAGCAACCCCATTTCACCACAAGTGTTTCCATATCTTTGTTTTTGGCTGGAAGAGGAAAGCTGAGAGTAGGGTGGTCTCACCAAGACCTTTTTCTCTGAGCCTTTATCCTTCCAGGCTCAGCTTTCTTCTTTGCCCTTTGTTTCTCCTCGACTCCCCCCACTCCTCATCTCCTGATAGGTCTCCCTGGTGACGAGGCCCACCCCTAGTTTCAAGGACAGAGGCAGCTGCAAGTACTCAGGGGCCTGCACATGGCCTCGTCCTTCTAGGCAGCTCTCTGATCCCAGCTGCAGAGGAGAAGACACAGGCCGGCTGCTTAGCTGCCTACTCTTCCCCGCTGGCCGCTCAGCTGTCAACACTCGCTTTCCAGCCCTGCCATTCCCGGGCCCCGTCTGGCGGCTCAGGCTGGGGACACCTCGGTCCTGGAGCCCCTCGTGCAGCCCCAAGCGGGCGGTGGGCAGGCGGCCGGCAGACACTCAGCCTGCCCTTGAGCATCCTCAGCCTTCCTTGCCTAAATAAGGGAGCCGCAGTCGGCGCGAGCCAGCTGGATGGGGGAGGGGCCTGCGGCTAGGTCAGGGTTTTCCGTGGGGCTGGGCCGCCGCCGCGGCAGGGCCCCCGAGTCCGCCCGCGGATTGGGTTTGCGAGGCTGGTCCTGCGTTGCAGGGGAGGGTGATCCGTTCATACAGGGGAATCCCAAGGCTGGAATCTTGCGCAGGGCGGGGAGGGGGATAAACGGGGGGGGGGCAGGCTGCGGAGTGCAGGGATCTCTTATGCTGCACTGGGGAGCCCTCAATTCTCGTCAGACAGTCCCTCTGAGCATCTCCCATGCAAGGCCCGAGAGGGGCCGCGCGTGCGTGCGTGCGTGTGAGTGTGTGTGTGTGTGTGTGTGTGTGTGTATGAATGTGTGTGTTGAGGGTGTCCTTGTTCTGGGTGCATGCCCTCCTAAGTCTCACCCACACTCATCTAAGGTTGCGGAGTCCTGGAATCCCCACATTGTCTTGTCCGTTCCATTTTCTGGTTTCCTTCCCAGGCGCCAGCTCAACCCTGTGATCCCACCAGGTGCATGCTGTGTGTGCCTAGGCCGGTGTTTTACGTGGCTGGGCACTTTGGATAAGGAACCAGTTCTCTCCATACAAACTGGGCTCCTCGGCCCTCGGGATCGGCGCGCGGGGGCGGAATGCGCAGCGCCTCCCTCGGTGCTCCAAGGATGGCTCTCGCACCAGTGCTCGCGGCTGTCCTACCTAAGGGTCCCTTCCTCTCCGGGGCACGCGCGTCTAGGGGCTGCCGGGCAGAGCGAGCGACTGGCAGGGTGGGGGGAGCGCCCAGTGCCGCTTAGCCAATGGCGAGGGCGGGCGCGCCGG